CAATTGGGGCCTACATTCGCCTATCAATAGAATCATGCGCGCTGCCGATTTGCCGATTTTGTAGATAATAGATTGTGTTAATTTTGTTTATATAACACTTATTAAATTAGTTCATGTATCAATTCTTCTTCAAATAATTTTTGTAATTATTATAATATTATCTTTATTATGGGACTTATGTGTGTTGGGGTAATAAAGATTATTATTATTATTGTAATCGAGCAAAAAATTCACCGTTATCGTAGTTCATAATATTGAACAATATTGACAAATCTCCGTTTTTGAATATACCGACAATGTTATTATTGAAGGCACAATCAATACTTAATTACGAAACACAAGGTATTCTTGTATGATACAGAATTGAAACAATAATGTTGTTTATCAATGCCTGTACCTCCACTACATTCCACATTGCTTCTGAAGATTCAAAATATAATGATTTAACGATTTGAGCACAGTAGTATGGGGGGGAAACGAAATGCATTTGTACAAGAGATTCAAGTCAGTTGAACTCGCTGGTTTTACAGTATAATAAATATTTACACATGAAAAAAAAACATCAATTTCATTATCATTCAAAAATTATTTACAGGTTTTTTAATATCCCAAAAGTTTTCAAAATTGGAGATACCTCGTTATTGCTGCCAACCTCCAGATTTTATTAGTGGCATAACACTACAAACTAACATTTACCCCCCTGTCTTAAAAGCCGAACAGCTTTTTATACGAAATTAATAAGAATTAGTAAAGGCTTCAATTTTTGAAAAGAAAAAAGTACCTATCTACAGTTCGTTGCAAATTTTATTGTATGAAGCGTTTATCATACTTTTGGTAGCCTCTATTAATAGAGTAAACAATTCTTTTTCCAATAGTTGCCTTTGAATCAACCTCATCAAAAAAAGTACTTTGTTAACGAGTTCAGCGGATATTGCAAAATATAACTGCACCAGACCATTCGCAAGCTTTTTTCCGTATTTTATTCGCATTTGTTCAGTTCGATCTGGTCCAGACGGAACAATTTACATTTACAAGAGATAATTACAGAACACGGTTATGTTGACAATCAACCCCTAGTTTTCCCAGCACGCGGTTTACAACGGAAACCACTACGAATTTATTTTGATTACTTTGACGTAATTAAATACCATCGAATAAATTAGACATGTCCTCCACACGTGGACGATGGACTTCTGTATGTGTAAACTTTAAATTACACCGAGTAACCCAACACTGTCCGGGTGGGCTGATTGGATTTGCCCATCGTTTGATTAACTGTCAAAGTTATATTTGAGCGAGGGATTTAATTAAACGTACGTGGTGATGTGGTTCCGGTGGAACTCGACGCAATGGGATATATCCTGGATCATCCGTATTTCGTCTTATTTTAGTTTACATTCCCACGGATTTGCGTCGGTGTGTACAAACGGGGAATTTTTTATCGATCGATATCGGAAGAGGCATCCCACGACTTATTTGCGGTGAGGTGACACCCTCACCGCGTCCGTTCGTGTATGTGTTGCCTTTCAATGTTATTTACGCCTGTTTGCTCTTGTACTGTTTACGCAAATACCGTAGGTGCGTTCTCACACTTCGTTTCTTATCGATTTTTTTTTCACGTGAGTTGACAAAACTCGAAGAAACTAAATTTTGAATCATTTTAAACTTAAATTACTGAATCAATTTTAAAAAATATACATGTACAAATTAATGGTATTGATAGGAAAATGCTCTAGAAAATCTTAAAATAAAAATTGCATATAAAGTTGTGCAGATGTGTGTAAAAGATATTATTAGGTTTTATTGCATCACATGAGATTGTTTACAATATTTTGATGGACATGTGACAGTTTTTCCCTAAGTGATGATAAAAATGTCTGCAGATAAGAAGTATCGTGTGCGTTGCTTTTAGTACTAACACAGGAAGAGTTACTTTTATCAAAGAATAATTCGTAGCAATTAAAGTTAAAAAATTCCAGTATTAAATTTTATCGTGGTTAATTTGAATTGTTAATCGTTCCTTTTCTCCCCATATTCCGCGACGTTCTCCCTCGTTAACACCGGGTGATATTTAATCATTCACAGCGTGCGGTTTACAAGCACTTAAACATAAACGCAGATCGTAATTAACTACCGAAACCCGTAAATACATCAGCCCCCTGAGTTTATTTACAACAGAGTGTCGCCGTATTTTTTTCAGAGCCATAAATATGATTTCTAATTTAAAAGAAGAAAGAAAAATAGCGCGTTTGTTGCTCATCTTTAAAGCATTACAATAACATGAGCCGCCTCTAATAGTACATTTGTCAAATTACGCCGGGATCCCGTGTCGTAGATAGCATCTGTGAGTTATTAGACGATAAATGAGCTGCAACACCGTCGTAGGGCAATTATGTGAGCCTTTGCCTCGGATGACATTTGCATATTCAGATTCGAACATTGTCCACGTTCATGTAGCGGCTTCCACCGGCTAGTTTTTTATTTTTATTTATTTTTACGTGTTTGCGGTGGCGCGCCGCTGCGTGCAATTCATATTCTGGCCGCGACCGAGTGCACATGTTCCGCACTTACGAAATGCCGATTTGCAATTGTAATCGGTCGCCTTAATAATAAGCAGCGGCTTCTATGTTTTTCACCGTACTCCCGCCTTAATTTATGTTTGTTTGCTTTAGCAAAAAAGGCATAATTCAACCTGGCGACGACTACTACGCGACGCTCACCGCTACAACATTCCGTTACTTCTCTTTCTTAAAACCACTGCTGGCATTTCTCATCTATTTGCTTAGAAAAAGTGTCACTTCAATTATTTATCTAACACAAAAATTATTGATGTCGTTCTTCGTAACTACATTAAATAATAATTGATTTTATTTATTATAGAAAATTCATTAAAAAGTACTGACAAATGTACTCTTATCCAAACTAATTGATCATTCACGACCTTGTAAGGTGGGAACTGGTCGAGATATTTATAGTCAATTAAACATAATAAGTCTCTACTTTGTACAATGTAGTTAATGTGATAATTGAAAATTTTTATAGATTTTGCAATTTAATTCTGCAAAAACAAGTAAAATGCATTATATATTCAAAAATACTAAAGTGATGAATTTTGAAGCAAAAGGATTACACGATATTATGATTTTGATATTGAACAAACATTAATATTTACTTAAAATTTTTTAAAATTGTATATGGCTAACTCGTGTAGCTGTGTCGTGTAGCAGTCTTACATGTTTGGCGCCCTTATTTGGTAAATATTGCTGCAATAACATTGCAATTTTAAGCTTGTGTACCATAATTGACGACTTCTTCAAAGTAGACGTATTTTTGTATCGCTTAATCTCACTGTTCTTAATTGTCTACATTGGAAAGTTGTTTGCATGACACATCTTCACTATTTTGAAAATAAATTTTATGTACAAATATTCACCAGTGCGACGATGGCAACAAATCTCCCAGCAACAAACTTTTACCGGTAAGTTCCTATTTACTTTCTTAGCTGATATCTTCTTTATTATTAGAGATAGCGAAAAACTAAATGCACCATTTCAAACCTTGTCTGTCGATAAGTTGATAGGTAGGTACTGAGATCAATAAAAAATGAAGAACACTGCTCTGTACTTAAAATAGCTCAAAATTACCAATTGTTATACATATATTATAATTGTTTAACAAAATGCATTGTACAATCATCTTTTTGCCAACAAGGCCTGAAAACATGTGAAAACATGAGAAACAGCATAAGAGCCATTTAAGGTATAATACGAAATGACGAACCCTTCAGATGATCGCAAAACTTATTAATGCACGCAATTCCATTTTCGCTTGCATTTATTCACAGAAAAAAATCTCCAGATCTGGGCGGTTTAATTGAAACTTTTTGACAAAGATTACAATTTCAAGATAAATTTTTTTTGAACTTGCAGTGGGAAACGAATCATCGTAATCAGTTTATAACATTGTAGTTGTATTTCTGTTGTGGGTGGCTATGCTCGCATTAATCCTTTAATGTGAAATTGAAACGGTGCAAATCATCTGAAGTTATTCTGGGTTTTTCGGAGATGAACACATAGTTTGAACGAGAGTCCCAGGTTAGACAATTGAAGTTTTTCGTCGAAACAAGTACTGTTTTTGGAGCAACAGGTGTTTTACTCAATACGGGCTGAACATAATGACATCTTCAAGTTAAACTAATACGATTTTCCTGATGTTCTGGTAAAAGATCCTGTGAAATTAGCCTTTGGTATGTTGCTGGAGCGTTCTTTATTATAGATGGTACAAAGTGGAAGTGAAACGTAACTGTATCAAGAGGGTAAATTTTGTCAAATGTATTGATGTTATACCACAGAAACTTGCCAGTAACTGGACCATAATAATAATAATAATTATCTTTATTCAATGCAAATACATAAGAAATTACAACATGTCATAATGTCATCTAATTAGAATGTGGTATTGACATACAAAACAAAAACAAGAAAAAAAAAGAAAAGAAAACAGAATAATTCATTCTACACATCTTTCGAGAAATTCATTTATCTTGTATATTGGGTTTTGCGCTAGGTAATTCTTAACGAACGAGTTCATTCTTCTAGAAGGCAATTGTCTAACTAACTGTGGTAAGTGATTGTAGAATTTTGTGCCCCAATATTCGGAGTTATTTTGAGTCTTTGCTAGACGGTGCCGTGGAACTCGCGATTCGTCCCCCGTCTTGTCGGATAATTGTGCATATATCTGAATTCTTCGTGAGATTAATCCATTTCTTCTTAGTTGCTTTAATGCAGCTGAATATGTACACAGACGGTATGGTGAGAATTTTGTGTATTGCAAAATTCTCTCTGCTACTGAAGACATGCCCCAGAACAGAATGCTATACGTTGCTACACTGTGGAAACTGGCATAATATGTGACTTTAGCCGCTTCTATGGTACTGATAGCTCTCATTCTCCGTACACAGTAAATTGCGTCATTTAGCTTCTTGGCAGTATTATCTATACGGGTGTACCATTTGAATTCTTCGTCTAGATACAGTCCTAAGAATTTTAGGGATTTATTTTCGGTATTGCTATGTCCGTTGTTGAAGGTAATGTATTGCGTCTTTTCTTCGTTTACCGTTAACCCATTATCATTAAACCATTCTTTTACAGCTTGCATGGAATTTCCTGAAGTTATTTTGAACATCTTTTGTTGATCCGCCCGTTGAAACGATAGCTGTGTCGTCTGCATAGAGGAATCTCCATGTGGTACAATGCTTGGCATGTCATTTATGTATATGGTAAATAGCAAAGGACCCAATACCGAACCCTGAGAAATACCCACTGAGACCTCTGCAGCACCTCCATTCACCACCACGATTTGTATCCTAGCATTCAAGTATGACTTCAGATGTCGTGTGCAACACTCCGAATACCGTAGTAATACAGCTTATCTAGGAGTAGGGCATGGTTTACACTATCAAACGCTTTTGATAGATCAACTCCTACTAACTCTACAAATTTTCTTTTATCTATTGCTTCCAGTATTTTGTTTACGGTATCTTGTATAGCTGTGTCTACAGATTTTTCTTTATGGTAGCTGTGTTGATAATTCGTGAAAAACTTTCTCTTTTCAAAAAAAGTAGAAATTCTATCTGCTATTACGCATTCGAAGACTTTCGAAGTTACTGGGAGAATAGAAATGGGCCTGTCGTTGTCTGTCTTTTCTACATTCCCTTTTTTGTGAATGGGAATAATTTTTGCTAACTTCAATTCGTTTGGAAATATTCCATGTTTAAGGCACATGTTAATAAGATACAACAATTGTAGCAGATGGACCTTCTATAGTTCTTTTCAAAAAAGCAGCAGACATTCCATAAATGTCCTTTAGTTATTTTTTATTTAAAACTCGTCATAGGACCACAATGGGTAAAATCCTTACTATGCTGAGGTTTCCTAAATAGTTATTCAGGCTCTTCTCAATGATTTCACAGAGTTATATACTTAGTGAAATTCTTTTTTGCTTCTCTTACGATGTTCCTTTCTTTGTTGTTGCATATCTGTATGGCTGGAATTCGAATGCCATCACCTCTATAACAAGTCAAAGTTGATGAGTAAGAGGATCTTATCTATTCCAAAATCAATTTGGTTCCAATGAAAAACGAGAACAACTCCGCGCCGCCAGAGTCTGCGCATTTAAATCATTTGTTTACCTCTTTGTTGAGTCGTCATAAATAGTCAAGAATCACTATATCAAGATGCTTTATCTGATAGAGTAACTGTTTGATATAACATCGGTACGCCAGCATAGAATATATGAAAATATTGTCTCAAAATATTCATATTAAATATATTTAGTACTTGTAAAAAAATCCTTTGTGGTAATATTGAAAATGTAGTAATTATTCTTGTTATTAATTCAACATTATAAATAATACATTGCAGTACATCATCACTAATGAATAAAAAGTATCTCTACCACTCACCATCCCACTACACTATAATTAAGTATATGAACTATACTAAAGAAAAAATTATAAAATCTAAAATATTGTATTATTTAAATTTTTATTTGTCATATCAATCTTAACACTGTATTATAAAGTAAATAAATCAAATATTGATGAATTGAGGCAATAAGAATTATAGATACAAGTAAATTATCACATCGCAGTAAGCTGGAATGGGTACTACTAATGTGTATGATCATAGATATTCTGATCATAAATAGAGCGAGCATGTTATCAGACTTCTAATGTATGGGTTTTTGTTAGATCAAAGGCAACACGATTATCGATGTATTCCCATACGTGTATTCCATTTAATTGGTTGTAAAACGATGGAGCATAAAAGTTTATGCGTGTATCGGTCGGACAGTACGTACGGGTGTAATTTATAACAGCACACGCGCGATTTTTGAAATCGTACGTTTTATCACGGTCGGTAAATGAGCGGCGGAAATCATTAGGTGGAAAACTAGGAATGAAACGAGATATCCATGAACGGTTTGATCTAGTAATTGTGTCCACCTGGACGCGATGACGATCGCGCAATTAATGCGACCGTCGTCAGTCCGAACGGTGCTCGATTTATGCGAGAGGTAATTTATTGGCGAGGAAAGAAAGCTCGATCGATTTCAATTATACCGACAAAAACCAAGTTAAAATATGGTCATTTGCGCCGCGTGGAGACAGCGACACCAGAGTCTTGAAAGCATTCGTTCGCTGCGAGCCTTCCTGTCCCGAACGGTAATTAAGAGTTATTTTGTAGTTTCCTCGACGATTGGTCAATATACAAGACGATTACACAGTCAGTTCGTTCCCACTTGTCCAGAGATATCGTGTTTGTGGGCTCCCAGACATTAAAGCGTCAATTTCCATGACAAATACCGGGCGGCCAGAAATAGTTCTTCCAACCGGGAAAGTATTAAAGTCACCTGACGTGTTCCGAACGTCACGGAGACGGTTTGCAAAAGTTACGATGTATGCCGGAGCACCGAGACCAGCTCATGTTGCCGGTTTTTAATTGCAGGTATATTTCATAGATGCTCGCGTTAAGAATCATCGTAGAACTATCGGATATCGACTACGGATTTTCCATTACGCCTTTGATGGACACTCGACACGACCTAATTTGCATAATACACTTCGGCCGCATGTGCGTGCTCGTTTATGCGACGAATCCAATAAAATTGGTTGCTTCGTGATCGCCACATCGAGTCCTCGAAAGCAACCCAATACGCCCTAGTTTCTTCATCGACCACCAGATAAACCGTTTAATTGGTTTTTAACTCGATATTAGCGTAGGCGTATTACTTCGGATCGAATATCTAACGGCTTCGTATTGATGTATTACTACGACACTAATTATACTATAAAGACTTGTGTGGGAGTTAATAGTCATCTTCCCACATCTTTTATAAGCTTTCTAACGATATTTATATTTCTAATCAATTTTAATCGACACTATTAGTGTTTTTGATCTTTTAATATTCTAAGAAATTTCATGAAGAAATTAATGATGTTACTTAACTGAGAAGAGATTGTAAAGAACGTGAATATTTATCGCAAGTAATATGAAATAGTAATTGTAAAAAGATACATGATCTGCGACTAAGATAAGGTCAAATGATCTAGGTACGTTGGTTGGTATTTCTTCATAAATATCAATACTTGTTCTACCTATAATAAAATAAATAAGGAGTTATATTCTTGTAACAGATATTTTCGTGTGGTGTACAGTAGCACACAATAAACAATAACCACTTTGACTCGTTTAATTATTCTACAACGACCTTAAGAACATTACACCGTCCCACATTCATTTCCAGATCACCATATAATTGCAAATATACGATATAGGTATAGGTGTCCGCGCACTTGTCCACATTGTATGTTCCCGTCATGTCATTATTGCATTAAGACAATACCGTTTCATTCGACGTGGGTATAGCTTGAAGTCGCCATTCTACATATTACGCAGCGCTTTTCCTAACTCAACGTATCCATTATTATCCGTACCCACAAGCTTGTTGCATAAAAACATCGTTCGCTTATTTACTCACCATACGATGGAAGAACAAGAAATCGCCTTTCACGTAGTAATGCCACGCCACGTCCCATTGGCAAATAGCCCGCGGCGTTAGCAATAAATGTCTTTCTCGGCGCTACCGTGCGCGTGTCCTCCCGTGGGTCTCTCATGGGGCCGTCAACGTCAAAATCGACTTTAGATGTGAAGCGTGTACAATTAGATGGAATCGGCATTATGCAAATTGGATTTAATAATAGTTCGTTGATGTTTGTTTGACTCAATTTAAAAAAAACCTAATAGGAGGTCTATCAAAAAGTTGAGAATGGAGCAAACAAGAAAGTAAGACATTATGCGTGATATTAAACCATTTGAAGCAAATTATGTATAAAGTGAACCTGTTATCTTGGTTCTTGTACTTTGTAATTTTACACTTAACGATTTCTTATTTGATTAGATGTAATCGTGGTTGCGAGCGCATGTAGGTGTGCATTGAATGCTGATTGTGAGGTTTTATCACCGTAAGGATACGACTTATATAGACGTCATGATGACTAGACGAACGTACTTAGAAGAATTTTTCTTTTTCAGTTTAGGACTGGAAGTAAAACCCACGCTCTATAAGTAGATTCGATGAGGTGCTGAAGAAGTTGTGCACGCAGAGCTTGGTCGTCTTAAGACTTAAGAGATGTACGTGTTGTAAAAAAAAGAAACGGATGACCACCACGGAGGTTCCAATAAAAGGCGGGTTTGGTAGCGAACTTATGCGCGCGAAATGTAATTGACACAAATTCCCATAGGTGTCCGATATGCAACCTGGGATCCGATGATGTTAGAATCGCAACCATCCTTTCCCGGGAGACCACCGGCGAGAGCAATGCCCAAATAACATCTTGCGCTGCCGCGGCGCACGAGCAGCGACCATCGAGAACACCTCGGGTCAACGGTAAAGTAAGTTTTCCTGTAAACAGGCAAGTCGCGTCATTTGCACCGGCTCTTCTCCGCTTGTGGTGACATGTTGTCTTGTGCAACGACATCAGATATGCCGTTTGTTTTAAAAGGTCTCTATATTGCGAAAAAGACAGATTAATCTCCGAGATTTCTTTTGATAGGTATCCTAACGTATAGTTGCGACGCAAAGAATTTATCAAAGGTATTTAAGTAGGCAAACACGGAGGAAATTAAAGGAAAACAATTCGAGGCGAACGAATTGATACGCCACGCTAGAACGGCTTGCGAATTCAATTTGCGGAGTCATCGAACTATGAAAGGGAATGGCAGGAGCATGTAGTAATAATAGGAAGCGGTAATAGGAAGTAACAGCGCGTTGTGCATGCAAGGAATGTCGAACTCGTTGCATATTACAAGGTACGAGAAACCTTCCCAAATCATAGTCACGTCTCTACAGCGAAAGAACCAACGATCACGAGATCTTTCTATAGAAAAATTAGAAATGCATAAGTATCTCAAGTATTCAGACTCTTGTAGCGAGTAAGCGAGGAAAATTTAAGACCACCGGCGCATGGGGACATTATATCACAGGGACGTTCGTGCGCAATTAATAATCCGCGTCGTATTAATTAATTTATAAGCCGCGCAATTAATTTTAGTCGGTTTTTCGGTTGCCACCGCCGCCGCGCTACCTACCAACAACGACCACTGCCAGACCACTACAAGAGT